GGCCGTGGCCGCCCCCGCCTGCTCGAGTTAAGGAGGCTCCTAGAGAGGGGGATACCCAGCCAGCCCCGGGAATAGCCTCCCGTACACCAGTCTAGAGAGTAATCCCCTGCACCCCCCTGGAAAGAGCCCCCAACCTGTTTGGGGAGTGACCCCCCTCAACCTGCCTGGAGCACAGTACTGCAATTCATAACCCCCAGCCCGACTCCTATTCCCCCGATATGATCACTGCTCAATAACACACATATCCATACACGAGAAGTGGGTCTGGCCCACGAAAGCTCATCATCTAATAAACCATCTTGTTAGTCTTTAAAGTGCTACATTGTCCTGCATTTTGTTTGGGGAGTGACCCCCCTCAACCTGCCTGGAGCACAGTACTGCAATTCATAACCCCCAGCCCGACTCCTATTCCCCCGATATGATCACTGCTCAATAACACACATATCCATACACGAGAAGTGGGTCTGGCCCACGAAAGCTCATCATCTAATAAACCATCTTGTTAGTCTTTAAAGTGCTACATTGTCCTGCATTTTGCTTCAGCTACCCCAGACTAACACGGCTACATTTCTATCACTACCATACACGAGAGTAACCCCCCCCCCCCCCCAGACTTTCTTAGAGTTTGATTTAATGATGTTCACTTATTTTGACATGTGATGTTGACAATTATTAATGATTATAAAGCTTTTAACTTTTTTCAATCTCAAGAATCTATTCTTATTAAATATTGTCTGACCCCCCCTTCCCATTGCTGTGAATTTTTAAATAGATACAAATATAGAAAAATATTTAAAATAAATATTCATGTTATCAACATTATAAAAGATTATGCAAATAAAACTCTGCAAACCCTAGAAATAACTTTCCCAAGATCATTTATATTCCCTTCCACATATGACAACTTTCCTACAATCCCACATCTGATAATGTCTCTTCAACCCAGATAATTTTATCTCAATGAGATAATTCAAATGTGTGTGATAACCTCTTTTAGCCCATGTATTTTATGTCCCAGTTAATAATGATCTCGTACCATTCCTGATATTTCCCCAATCTAAAAACCTTTTAATTTTATCTTGCAATTATCTCCCAAAACCCTTCTTCAAACCCCGCTGAGAATCCCTACCATCTATTTGATAACCTGCTCCCAACTTCCCACCTAGTGTCTCAGTTAGACAATCTGTCCCATGCTGTCATGGGGGGGCTTCAACTCATATAATCTCCTCCTCAGGACAAATTATAAATTTCCTACCTACTTTTGTGGTTATCCCTGCACCAAATCTCAGCCAATATAATCTTCCTTCATTCCCAGACTCAAATGTGCACAGTACCAAACAAAGATTAAAAATATGGTCTCTGCACCCCAAAGAATTTACAATCTCAGGCTGTCTCTACACTGGCAAGTTATTCCGGAAAATCAGCCGCTTTTCCGGAAAAACTTGCCAGCTGTCTACACTGGCCGCTTGAATTTCCGGAAAAGCACTGACAATCTAATGTAAAATCATCAGTGCTATTCCGGAAAAACTATGCTGCTCCCGTTCGGGCAAAAGTCTTTTTCTGGAAAACTGTTCCGGAAAAGGGCCAGTGTAGACAGCACAGTAGTGTTTTCCGCAAAAAAGCCCCAATCGCGAAAATGACGATCAGGGCTTTTTTGCGGAAAAGCGCGTCTAGATTGGCCACGGACACTTTTCCGGAAAAAGTGCTTTTCTGGAAAAGCGCCCTGCCAATCTAGACGCTCTTTTCCGAAAATGCTTTTAACGGAAAACTTTTCCGTTAAAAGCATTTCTGGAAAATCATGCCAGTGTAGACGTAGCCTAAGTGTTAAACAAGAGACAACAGATGGAGTCAGAAAAAGAACAGAATAGACTTTATACAAATTATGTTATATTAAATTTTACAATGCTCCTACATTTTCAAGTTGTCACAGTAGAAAACACTTAACTGAATTGTGAATATATGCAGGAAAGCTGGAGAATTTGACAGATGGATAGGCAACAGTTGTGGTTTCTGGTTTCCAGAGGTGTGTGTGTGGGGGGGTTACTTTAAGGGGCAATCAGGACCCTACAACTTTGTTAGTGAGGTGGTGGTTAATTTCTACATACTGGCCAACAAAGGCCTATTTTCTCATTACCTGTGGTAAAGGGATAGTTTAGTAATCTAATGTAACTTGCAGATACCCTAATATTTTTATCTCATCGACTATAGTTTTTAAAAATCATGTTTCTCTAGGTTTTATTTTACTATTTCTGAAAAAATGTACAAATGAAAATGTCCTAAATACCATGTCTCCCATATCATTCTTCCTTCTTAAAATTTCATACTACCATGTGAAAATACAAAGTGCACAGCCCTATGTAATAAATTTGCTAGTATCTGCTGTTCCTTATATAATAATCTTGATCAAGATTTTTAGAAATAGGAGCCTAAAACTGTGCACTTTAAATCTGTGTTGAAGTACTTGCTTGATATGCAAAAATGCTAACCATCCAACAGGTCATAGTGAAGTCAATATCTAAATATGCATTTAAGAACCTAATCTGAGGGCCCCATGTCTCCAAGAGGCATCTCTCACCTGTAGAATTTATTGTGTCTCAACACAGTTTCACATGACGAATTCCTATATACCAATGTGCTAAATTCCTTTCCTTTTGTGCAATACATTCTCCCATGTGCTAATCACTGTAAGAGCAACATATCCTGATTAATAATTTCACAAACAATACCTTTCTGGCATGATGTATCCTAATTGCTAAAATTTTGTAATTTTGAATTTTAAAATTTAATATACTTATTTAAAATAACCAATATAGTTTTAAAAAATAATCTCATATGCATTTAAATAATTCATGACCCCTGTGATTATGTCCTATTTTCCAGTGGGGGAATTTCATTTTCAGTGATAATGCCCACCTGAAATAATCTATATCCTCCATACATGGTAATAAAAAATCAACACTAAATAATATGATCATGTAAGAATATCTCCTCCAAAAAAAGAACCTCCCCACAATACTGTCCAAATGCTTTATTTTCTACAACTGACCATCTCACCAAAATGTGATCAATTTACATTTTCCTGCTATATTTCATATGCACCTGTTATATGTGGTTTCATGTCATAAACCTATGCATTACTCATATCTCCAGGAAAAATATGTAGTTGTTTTAACCATCCATAGTTGCATAGACTCATATTTTCAACCATGGAGTAGCAAAGGAATTGCAGGGCAGGGCCAAGGCACTTCGATCAGGCTTTATGGGGAGACCAGGGCTGGAAAAGCAGGGGGCAGCAGGGCAGGACTGAGGGGCACGGGCAGGGCTGTGTGGGGATCCCAGGGCTGGAATAACAGGGGGCTGCAGGGCAGGGCTGAGGGGCACTGGCAGGGCTGTGAGGGGAGCCCAGGACTGGAATAGCAGGGGGCTGCAGGGCAGGGCTGTGAGGGGAGCCCAGGGCTGGAATAGCAGGGGACTGCAGGGCAGGACTGAGGGGCACTGGGAGGGCCTGTGTGGGAAGCCCAGGGCTGGAATAGCAGGGGGCTGCAGGGCAGGACTGAGGGGCAC